CCATACTTGACTATGCAGCCCCCGCATGGTCCCACGCATCAAGTAACACCTCCATAAATTGCCTGCAGGTTGCCCAAAACCAATCCCTTCGCGTTGTTACTGGATCAAATCTAATGAGTTCCACTGCCCACCTGCACAGTGAATCTGAAATCCTAACGGTCAAAGACCACCATACCCTTCTGTCATCTCAAATTTTTTATCTCTACCTATCGTTCCCACCATCCCATTAATTTTATACATTCACATCCCCCTCCTCTCCGTCTACTTCGCCCCTCAATTATAAGCTGCTTCAAAGAAGACACCCAGAAAATTTTAACCGACTTTTCAGTCTACGCAAACCACCCTCTAGTTCTGGACGACCGAGACAAAGTCTCCACTTTTATTTTTAACTACTACAAACCAATTTTAAAAGACAACCATACCTCCCCTTAACCAAGTTCCTAGCCGAAACCCCTCCGTCTAAAGTTATTTGTATCCCTCCCCCAAAGATTGACCCCTCTGAAAAATCTCTCCCACGTCCCACGCGCTGTAAGCTCTCCCAACTCCGGTCTGGCTACAGCCGGCTCCTTAACACTTACCTATCCCGCCTCGACAGCTCCATCTCCCACCTTTGCCCAACCTGTTCCCTTGCCCCCCACACAACATGTCACCTTTTCAACTGCTCCCAAAACCCCTCCCCACTCACCCCAGCAGACCTGTGGCTTCGGCCGGTAGAGGTTGCTAAGTTCCTTGACCTGGAGACAGAAGAGCCCAACCCGACCCGCGTGGGCTAACAACAACAACAACAAAGGTCCCTGGTTCGAATCTGACGAGGATGTTTTTTTTATCAAATGGGAAAGATTGTTTCAAAAAAAAATTGTCCGCCAATTATTTGTCTGCTTACTTGCTGTCGGCCTAATTGTCACATCTTGAAATCGTTTTCTTTTGCTGCGCGCTTTTTTTGATGTTGCTTCTAGTGTTTGATTATCTCTTTGTAATTTTACTTGGTAATTTTAGGTGATTTACTCTCCTATAATTTCTAATATTAATTACCCTGACTTCAAGTTTTTTTCTTTGTTTTTTTTAAATTCGCTTAAAAAGTTCATCAGTCAAATATTTCGGCCTAATATTTTTTATCGGCTTAATGAGCTAATTTTGGGTCGTTTCAAGAGAAACACAACATGAACACTCAACTCCGCTCATTTCATGTTGTTTGTATGTTAACCAATCGGTTCGTTGAATTTTCTTTGGAAAAATTTCAGTTTTTCTCAGAGCTTTCTACTGACTTTCAAAAGCGTATAAATTGAAAGACTGCTTACTCCACCGTGTGCCTATTTACTCCTATCACTGTTTCTTGCGGAACATCTTTAAACAAATAAATGCAATCCGATTCCATATTGCTTACAATTGTTTTTTGTTTCCTGTTGCTAAAGTCTTTCAACCATTTAAACGGAATTATTTGAAAAACCCTTAGTTAATTACTTGGATTTAAACTTATTGTGATTTGAGTCTATTCTGATTGATAAAGTGGAATGCTTTAGAAAAATTGAGAAGAGATACAGCTACAATATTGTTCTGATCAATTGATTTTCGAAATGATTCAGTACTGTATAGTAGTGCATCTATAGCTGAATACGATGCTCCAAAACCAATTTTTTTTTGCTTATACGATTATCCTTTAAAAGATATTCATTTTTTGTTCATATAAAAGTTTTTTTTCGAACACTTTTGACACCGCAGCAGTAATTGATTTTGGCCTATTTTTGGTTCATCCGGATCATCTTTTTTTAAAAACAGAAATTGGAGTAATGAGAGTTTTTTTAAGGTCGAATGGAATTATTTGATTTCAATAAAATCATTAGAAAGAAATGTAATGGGATCGCTAAGCTAGTTTATCAGAATGACTTGGAGGTTTCCGATGGTTTAAGTTTACTAGTTTTTTTTCCAGCATTACAATGTTGTAATAAATGAAAAATCGAATAGTTTATATTCAAGTGAGTTTTCGCTGCATTTGGAAGTGTTGCATTTTTTCTGTTATTTCGTAGAATCTAAGTTGTCATTAATATTTTTAATAGTAGGTGCTCCAGATGTTTGGTCTGAATGAAGTATGCTTATCAAAAAACATCCTGAACTAGAAAGTTCGTCAATTTATTTTTCTATAATTATGTCTCCAAAAGAATTTCGGAGCATTGGCATTTTATGTGTAGTTTTTTTGAACTTCTGGTATCATTGATAATTTTCCAGCGTTGCTGGTCGTTTTTATGCGCTTGATTTTATGTAATAAAAAATTGTTTTTTTTTAAAGATTTATCTCAGGTTTTTCATTTCTGATAGACCCTTTTTTTGTGTTGCACAGACTTTAATAAACGTTGTTTTTGCTGCTGCATTAATTGTCTTACGTAATGAGTTGCAAGTTGTTACTGAAAAAAATTCAGTCGGTTTCGATTTAAATTATTATCTCATGTGCAATTAAATCATACCAGATCTTTTCATTTGTAAATTTTATATATTCCAATCTATAAAGTTAAATTTTTTTTCAAGTAGATGATATGATGAAGGTTGCTTCAGATACGTTTTTTTACCTTGACAGTTTTCATCTTTTGATCATCAAAAAGATTATCCCCGAAACTAACTAACTTATGAATTGATGCGATGGATAACATGGATAGAAATATCTGGTCCGTTAGGGGCTTGGTAGCTTGGCGTGCTCCAATTAGTTTTATCAAAAGACCAAACCAGACCAACACATGCTCAAGACTACCCCACGATGACATTGAAATATGAAAAAAAAAATCTAACCATCAGCTCACTTCACACTCAACCTAAAAAAAATAATAGACAGCAGCTGATCAAGAAATAAAGTTTCCATGAAAATGATCGGAGATACAATCACTCTTGTGGACCACACGCATCCATATCTTCTTCTAGTTGGGGAACCATTTATCAAATGCCCCAGCAAGTCGTGTACCCTCTCACTGTAAAATTCAATAAAACAAAAAACTAGAAATTTATAAATGGGGTAAAAATCCGATGAAATCTGGTTCTATTACTTTTTGATATACTCAATTATTCGCTCTTAACTGTTGTGAAAGCAATTTAAGTAGTGAAGTTTTAATATTGAAAGACCTTTTGAATATAAATGGTTCGAAGTTGAGGTTTTGGCTGTTGGCTCTTTATGAATGGCTGCAAATGCGAAATTTGTAGTTTTGAGAGCTAAATTCTTGAACAGGAAGACGAGGGCTGCGAGTACTTGGGTTTCTATCGCGAATTGGGAGCCAGCAGGGAAGAAGAAAGCTACGCGCTCATTGAAACATGGAAATCGTTGGAGTTGTTAAAAGAACACAAGAAACAACCTCACGTGAAAGAGTTTCATGACGAACAAGATGACAACTGCAAGTTTAATTGCAAGATGTACTCACTCGTCAGTGATTGTGAAAGCTGACTGGATTCTAATACACAATTAAATATCAAAATCCGCTTTTAGTTCTCTTCATACTACAGGAAATAAAGTTTCAATTCAAAAATATTTAGATAACTTTATTAAATTGTGTTTTGATTTTGTGGCATTGTCTGTTTGCTGTTTTCTTAGCGTAACCAATAAACAACTGATTTTTACTGCGGGAAGATTTCATGACTTTCTGAAGCTTTAAGATATAAAAACCTGAACCAAATCTGAACGGGCAAAAAATCTCAGGCGATATCGCGAATGGGTTTTTCGATCTTTTGGAAATTAAAATTGAAGTCTTCAAGTTAGATCTATATATTTCAGGGGCAGATCTAGGGTTTTCTAGAGTGTGATGTTCAAAAATTTATCGAAAAATTCGACCTTTTTTTCCAAGCAAACTTGTTATTTCGACCACCAACTCGGTGCGGAGAAAAGACGATCGGGGTATTTGGCGAGAAGAAAAAAAAAGATAGGCTTTCTCAACTAATAAAAAACGAATTTTTTAAAGAGTTATTAACGTAGAGAGTTTTCTATTATAGGTCTTCGTGAATGTTTTTTTTTTCGTTGTGAAAAAGTTTGGATAAAATTTGTTTGCTTTATTTTGATTTTTCACGGTTTGACTTCTGATTTCTTTTTAAGTGTAAGTTCTCTTTCTTTTCTTTGTTAAAAGTAAGACTAACTCCTCTATCGAACACGGCAAAATTTGTAATGACCACGAAAAACGTGATCGACTTCTAATTTCGAAAGTGATTTCTTATTTCGAATTTAATTATCAGATTTCCCAGCGAAATAAAAATTTTACCTAGTGATCAAGTTTTCTCAAACTGGGTTAATTTTATCGAAAAAGCACCAATCATAAATTTTGCTTGAAATTCAAGAGTTTAAATGACATTTGTTTTTCTTCAAAATTCGAAAGTTGTAGTTTTTTTTTAAAAAACAAGTCAGCTTTTCTGTTTCATTGTGTTCATTATTCTTTTCCAACTGTCAGTTGATTTATTTTCTGTTTCATTGCGTTCATTATGGTTGGAATCAACGTAAAATACTAAAATATTAGTTTTAGATTAATCGAGCTATTGGCCAATAAAAGCTGAAGAGTGTATGTGATTTTTCCGAAAAAAATTTGGGAGTGCCTCTGATAGGTTGCATGATATAACACCAGACCTTAGGGTGCACAGGCGAACACGTCACCTCTATGCCAAGCGCTAACGAACCTGAAAGTTGTTAAGGTTCACCATCGGAGCAAATAAGAAAAACAAGTAAGATCTGTAAGAATAGTTGTTTACGGCAAAAAGTCTTGTTCCCGATTACAAGACACTTCCTCTCACAAGTGCAATGAGAAAGTTTTTTTCTCAAAAGTCTTGGCATCAACATTTGAGAATAGGTCTCGGATAATAGTTTTTGGCCGTATTTCTATAGTAGGAACAGTATCTTGCTCAAAAATTGAATTTTGTGTTTTTTATCGCTATTTATGTCCTTTATATTGCCTGAAGCGCTTAATCGTAAATATGATGGTTCTTTTAACTTATTTGGGTAATTTTAGGCTCTTGCGGTAATTTAATGTTTGCATCTTCTAGATTTAATGTGAAGTGTTGCAGTTCGCTTTAAGAGAACTCCAAAATGAAAAGTTATCGGGGTCGTCGGAGGAGAAGTTTGTCCTCGGAATCTGCGAAGCTTAATGCAAGGTCTTTCATTCACTTGAAAACACCACCAGTGACAACAGAGTTCAGTGTGAACTCTAAGCTCACGGCAAGAAATGCCAGCACTTACACGTTGCTGGAGCCAAAGAGAACTATTGTTAGTAAAGAGAACTATGACAGACGGAAAGAACAAGTGAACTCCATGGGATACAAGACACCGTCGCACAAGGTCAGGGTCATTTTTATTCCGCCCAAAACTTGTAATTAGTAATAGAGGCCATCTATTCTCATTCTGGTTCGAGGCTTTTGGATTAGTAAACTATCGGCAATCTCATCAAAAACGGACAATAGGTACAGAAAATTAACTTGAAAAAAGTTATGGAGCGTATTTTTGGCCGTGAGCTGAAATGTATATCAAATAACCAGATGAAAAATAAAAGGTTATTCTAGTCAAAATTCAAGAAGTCAAATGTGAATATTTGTTTCAGGAGTAAACCGCGTATTTGGTCAGTATATGTTGTCATCTTTTGTTTTAGCTTATCAGTGTTATATTCATCAAACCCCCAACCTAATTATTTGGCGCTTGCTGTATAAGTTGTCGCTGCAACAAGCAGTGAATATCATAAAAATTCTACGGAATAAATTATAGTATCCAATCTACGGAATTATTCTAAATGTACGAGAATCTGAAACAATTTCAACACCGACCTCAGAAGCGAGAGCAAAGTTTTAAGTATGGTTTTAATTTTCTACCATTTTTATGGGCTGCCTAATCATTAAAATAGAGCTTCAAATAGTTAAAAAGACCTAAAATATGCGAAAAAGTGTTCCGAAATTAGCCTGGGAGCGAGGGAGTAATAGTCATTTAAAAAATCTGTCTGTTGAAATTCAGTTTCAAAAGCAAAAGTATTTGGACCAATGTTTTTGAATTATCTTTTTGAAATTTGTATTACGACAAATAGCTTTTAAATGTTACTTCAGTTGACCCCCGTACGAGCTTTCTTTGAGGTATTAAGATTGGAGGGAACGCTGGGTACGCCGTATTTCTAGAGCGGTCGGAACAATAATTAACAGTAGCTGTGAAGAAAGTTATACCTCAATTAAAAGTGCACTTTAAACTAAAAAGGTTCTCTAGCTCGTGAACATGGTTAATGATGCGTGAGAGCTCAGATCTGAGGTTGGATTTTGACACCTGGGTACGGAGTTTAATGATATTATATAACGACTATTTTGGTTTCCATGACGAGCAAAAAGTTGCAAGAAAAGGAATTAGTGCAATTGATGACGGCGATAATTTAATGTGTTAATTTGCGAAATGAACGTTAAGTTTTAAGGACGTGTGATTTGTTGTGTGATTCGAAATAAATTGATTTTTTTGCACAGCAACCAAAACATCGTCCCTTAGTAGGCGTGCGGTGAAAAAATTGATCTGAAACGCACATATTTGCTTTCCCCGGCCCTTCTTCCGTCATTTAAAGCGAAAAAAAAAGATTTTTTTTCGCTAAAAAGGATGTAAGAAGGCTTATGGACATCATAAATGTCCCCAGAAGCCTTTCACCGTCATAATGTTTCGCTTAACCAGTCAGTAATTAACCTTGATCAAATCGCTCGGAGTTAATTAGGAATTTAATACTGCTGCCAGCTTCTATCACGCGGCTGTCCAACTAGGGTTATTTTCACAAGCAAGCGCTGGTTTTAAAATAAGATTTTTTTCCCTTCCAGCCAAACTCTAACAATATAGTACTCTCAATTTCATCCGTGGCCAATTAAGTAGCATGCGTTTTCATCAGTTTTTGTTAACTTCATATCTTATAGGCGGCTAATTGTGTAAGTGCCAAAAAACGTAGTTATGACACTTTTTTGCGAGAAAATACTTGGAGACTAATTGGAGACTTTTCTTACAAACCTGCAAAAATTATCTTGTTTTATTAAGGAACGTCAACATCTTCGATAACAACTCTTAAGGATCGTCAACAACTCTCACTTGATCGTCAACAACTCTCACCGCAAAAACCTTTTCTTACAAACCTGCAAAAATTATCTTGTTTTATTAAGGAACGTCAACATCTTCGATAACAACTCTTAAGGATCGTCAACAACTCTCACTTGATTTAGTGGTCACGCAGGAACCTAGGAATTTTTTGATCTGGGGTTTGAATTCCGGCCGAACCTTGATTTTTTTCGATACGGATCAATTTGAAGTTTTTTTTTACCGGGAAATTTTGAATAGTCGGACTTAGTTGTCTACTAACTTTTTTAGCTTAATTTCCAATGTATAGATTTTTCTTCTGATTTGAACAGTTTTTGTTATTAAACTAGCGTCAGCTTTGTGTATTATTAAGAACCTTCTTTTTTTCTAATAATGGTGCCACTTTTGGGGCACCGGTACAGCTTTTTGATTGCATGTGCTTTGATTCGAATAGTAATAAGTTAACACAGTTGATGCATTTTTAATTCATCAAATGAACCGAAAAAAGCTATGTTTTCAACAACATAACAATGATTAAAATTCTATTTCAGAAATTTTCGAACTCAATATATTAGGCAATTATTTGAAATACATAATTTATATATAATGTGGCTTCATGCTTTCCGTTTTTTTACATACAAAGTTAGTCTGGATGCCTTCGTTTGTTATATTCCAAATTATTTCTTGCAAAATTTTGTCTATTTGTATTTGGTGCCACTTCTGCTGAATTGCATTGGCAATTTATTAGCATATGTTGCTGCTTCATTTGTGACTAGTGGTTGTCGGTAGTTAAGCGTGCGTGGTTAGTGCGTGACACTCAAAATCTCTTTATTGCAGTAGGTTGCAGATCGAATTCTAGACCTAGACAAAACTTGCTAATTGAGGCTTATTTTTGTTTTTATTGCATTTTCTAGAGCTGCTTTTTGTCGTGTTCTGGCTAGTGTTTGTGAAGCGAAGCTTCGCCTTTGTGTTGGAAGTTGTTTTGTTACTTGTAAGTTTACGAACTCTGACTTTGCCCAAGGTTCCTTTTTTATTTATTGTTTTCTTCGCATAATTGGTTTTGGCCTCGTTATATCGGCTAAATTGTTTTGTTTTGTTTGAAGGGTAAAAATTTGAGAATGGGGTTTTGAAGCTGAACAATAACTTAATGACAATTTTTTGATAGCTTTTTTGTTTTCGACTGAAAGGTAGTCTGCCTAAGTATTGACGGTTCAGTGGCTGCTTGGTTCAGGATACTAAATGCTTATGTAACGCTGATAATGGTTTTACTGAAATTGAACATTAGCCGAGGCAAACTTATGAAAGTTTTATTGAGATAATTTTTCTATTCGTCAGCTTGAAGTGCAACGCAGTGCTGTATCGCAGGTGTTGCACGTATTACAAACACCGGTTTGCCTCTGTGTGTAGGTCGTGTTGATTTTTTTCATAAGTTCTAAAAGTTGTTCACGCTCAAGTTTTTTTTCTGTCTGACTTTTGATATCTTCTTTTTCATATCCTTTTGCTTAAAAAGGCAAATCCCGCTCTCGACTAACAGAAATTCAAATGGCTCAAAAGTTTTAATAACTTAAGTTTTAAAAACAGATTTTATTTTTGTTTAGAATTTCGATTGGAATAAAAAAAAACCTATTGAGCTAGTTTTTTTTTAGCTTGAGATAGTTTCATCAAAAAATTTCAATCGTATAAGATTCACGAAATTCCATGATTTGTTTTTTCTTCGAAAGTTGAAAATTTTTTCAAAAAACATTTTTTGCGGTCTCTCTGAGCTCATTGTTTTTGCCAATGAGCTCCTTGTTTGTTTTTGTTGTCAAAATTTCTGACATTTGCGAAGTCGCAAGTTTATAGAACGTCGCATATTTGAGTATTAATGAGGCTAGTGACATATATTGAATGATGAGCTTTACTTATATGTGTCGGTCCATTTAGAGAACTCTCATTTGTATGTTCTCCATTCAGCGTATAATTTGTGTGTTCTCCATTCAGCATGTGTGCATGTGTTATCATGAGTGTTTTCAGTCGTTCAAACCTCAGTTAAAGTAAAATAAAATGTAGCCTATTTGCAGCCGTATGCGAGCATCGGTGGAGAACCAATACTGGACGATGAGATGCTTGTGCGCCTCACCCTGGGTCAGCCGAAAGAATCAGATGTACATGGAAACCTGCAGAACCAACGGGGTGATTATGAATTCGGACCTGACTTCATGAAGTCTCTTCACTCAATGAAGAACGTATTTGCAGCATCTTCAAGGTCAGCTTTGCATAAGAAGGACGCGAAAAGTAGAGTAAAAGGAGCGGTTCCCGCCTCGACGATGCAGCGACGTGAAAAGGATCGGGAAAAAGGAAAAAGACCGCAGTACGATCCGAACCAGTTAAAGACCAGATTAGCTTCTGGTAGGAGAAGTGTTAAAAGTGTATCTTGTCTGGGTAAGAGTTGGTTCGATTTGATGGAGTCCGAAAAAGAACAGGATCAGTCTCAAATCTTCGATAAATCAAGAGTTAGCTCAGCTAATTCAAGTATGTATGGACGAAAGAATGTGAAAAAAGCTAGCAGACCAGAAAGTGAAATGCGCGATTTGAGCGACAGTGAAGTATCATACATCGAGGAGCTGGATTTCGACTCTTCGGTTTTGTTTAGTAAAGAAAATAATGTCGGAAATGAGAGATTAGTTCCGATAGGTGAAGTGAATGGGGGCAAAAAACGTGCTACTTTTTCGGCTAATTTGATCAAAAGGTACATGCGAGCGAGTACAGCTAAGAGCACTTTAGGAGGTATGAACACGGCAGCAAATACTACAGCTCTAAGTAATTATATGGATGAAGATGTTGATTACAGTGACAATTCCGATGACAATGGAAGCTTTGACGAGGGTGAAGTTTCTATTGTTGACCAGACATCTATGATTGATTTGAACTCCACAGCAGGTTTGCCGGAGTTTCGGGAGACCGCTTCTGTTGTTAAGAAACCTAAATCGGGTCTCGTGTTCAGAGCATTCACACCTAGCTTGAACATTAATCAGAAAATGAATGAGCACACAGCTCTGACGATTGGGCGGAGAGATTGTGAGACAGGTCCATTCACAATAGAGGAGCGAGACGAAGTGCTGTATCGGCAATTATGTGTACTTTTGTGGATCTTCAATAACTTGACTGTGGAGCCAAACTTCAAATATACTCAGATTGCTACCTGCTTTAGTCAGGTAAATCCAGGTGGTCGAAAAATACCCAGGTCAAAAATTTTGAAGGAAAAAGCCGCTGAAAAACAGTGGGAAAGAACTATTCTAGACATCAAACCAAGGGCTAAAAAGGCGACAATGTTTGGACTTAAGTCAGCTCTTGCGTCAAACATCAAAAGTGAAAGCGGAGCAAAAAATCAATCTGAAAGTCACATCGGGACAATAGCTTCGAGGCCCTTCTCAGCAAGTTCCCAAAATAGTTCCAATGTGTCTTTCGCAGAAAAGTCTAGCGTCAGAAGTCGGCAATCTTTGAGCTCCGCAGCGACGAACGAAGTGAAACACGAATCTATCCTCGATAAGATTGGACTGACTGAAGCTATTGTGGAGGAAATTGGTGAAGATGATTTTGACTCACTCGCTAGTCGCCCTCACAGTCGAAGCTCCGTACATACGCTAGACAAATCACAGATTTGTAGCCGACCCCAATCATCTTCAGCTGGTATAAAAGACTCAAACAATACTTTGCACATTCCAGCGCCTCTGTTCGTATCATCGGCAGAATCCACAGTGCGTATACCTCTAGATCACTTGACTGAAGATGAACACGAGCAAGATGAAGCTGATATTTCTGGATCCTATATCATTGGGGGTTTTCAAGATGTCCCGGGAACTGCGAACACTGTTGACACAACTGGCGATGACGCCACAAAAGCAGACAGTGCAAAGGATGATTCGCAAAACGATATGGATGCAGTAGATGGTGGTAGTCCTCAAGATATTAAAAGAGAGTCAGAGAAAATCGAAGCAGAAACTGCACTTGGAAACGTAGAAGAAGCAAGTCACTTTGAATTGGAGAAAAAGAAGAAAGTTAAGTCTACGAAGAAGGTTGAGTTTACGCCAAATGACCCAGAAGATGGTTTTAGTTCATCCGTTTTAGCTGAAAATGCGGGCGAAGTGCCGATCAGAATGCGATCTTTCTGGAATCAAATCAAATTGGAACAGGGTCTCCAGATGCGAGATGTGCTGGCACAGCATAGCAGAGTGCGAAAGAATGTGTCCAAGGCCAAATTGAATGCAATTGGACATGCATTAAATGCAAGGAAGAGTACAAACATTGAGTTATATGCTGCGTTGAAGCAAGTCCGAGAGTCAGCAAATGAAATATATAAGCAGGACAGAGAAGCTCAAGAGCAATATGTTGATTGGTATTTGGCACTTGTGGCTAACCTACCCTCATCTTTTGGCTCAAAGCGGCTCGGGTCATCAGGAGCTACCGGGTCCTGCAGTGAGCTTGTGATGAAATCCGTCCCCGCGCATCATGACAGAATCCTGGCCCGATTCGAGGAGTTAGGTCGCGTTGGTGCAGTTCCCTCGCGACTCATCACTGGCGCTGCTCTAAGGAGGTTCCTTCTAGACGAAGCCAAATTGAGATCATGGGAGCTGTGTGACCCTAATGTGAGGCCGGCTATAGATTTTTTCTGTGAGCATGTAGCAAATTTACCCAAAACGGAATTCCTGGACTGGTTGGCTGCTTACAGTCCTCACTTTGCGGCATTGGAGAGCTACACGATGTGCAAAATGAAGGAAGAAGTCGACAAAAAACAGAAGGCGCAAATTAGAACCAACTAGAATTGATTGAATTAGCAAATTGAATAAATAAATGTAAAAAGTGAAATAAATGTAAAAAGTGTTATATTTTAGATTGTATAGTTTTGTAGATGTTAATAGATTGGAATAAATAAGAATAAGTCGTACTTAATAAACAGCTATTAATACAAATTAGTGGATTTAAAAATAAAAATTGACTAAGAACGACTTATTCAGCTCAGGTTCGCTCGAAAAAGCATTGATTTTAAAAGCGTTGACCTTTTGTTTCATAAATAGTGCTGTGCTGATGATGGCAAATGACTTATATTGCAATCTTAGCGTTCGTTTTTTTGGATGGCGAAATAAATAGTCGATTTTTTTCTCTTGCCTTGTTTGACGGCATTTTTTTGCTGTTGAATCAATTACAATTCATTTAAAGGGTAGCATGTTTGACGAAGAGCAAAAAGCGGAACTAAGAATAATCGGAATTTACCCAAAAGAGGAATTACTCAAAAGCCGAAACAAACTTCAGCCGAGTGGCTCTCAAGTAGACAAATGGGAAAGCCTCGCTCAGCATTGCTTTAAATTATCAGGGAGTTATTTCTACGACCACTTATTACGCGACCGCAAATCACCCCAAATTGTTATCGATAAGTGCCAATTATGTGATCCTTCAGTAAAAACAGCGTCAATGCAATTCTTGAAAAAGCACAAATGCTTATCAGATGATCTGATAGTTCCGCTTGAAAAGTTAGACACTAAAAATGGCCCAATAGTTGGAGATCGAGTTTCTAAAGGCAGAAAAAAACCAGCAGTTGTACACGAAGCGAGAAAAATTGAGTCTGCTCTGCTGATGGAAAAGAACGTTAGGACTCTTGGGAAAGTGATCGCTATGGACGGTCCAGCTGCTCTGGATCAGTTATTCTCGTGCACTCCCTTCGTGAAAGCACCTGGATTTGACATGCACAGATACTCTGGCCAGCTCAAAGTAATAGATGCTATGCTGAAATCTGGCTACATGGATTACTTGGATCAACTAGCGGATGAGATGGAAATAGAGAGAAAACAGAAAGAACGCAGACTCCTTCTTGCTCGCAGAGCCATCAGAGCACCCTTGAAAAGGAATGATTTCGACCAGATTGAAGATTCTTCGACCAAAGCTATAGTGACCACACCAGTGCGAAGTTCATCAATTCAAGACATTTTACCCTTATCAACGAGTAAAGCAGCGAAACTAGAACGAAAAAATATTTATTCATCTACTGTGAAATGTTATCGAAAAGCTTTATGGCAAGATAGATATGCGGTCAATTCACCTATTAAGAATTTAACTTCGGAATTGAGAAACTTGCCATCAAATGTTTTCAGTGGTACACCCGTGAAAGATCCGTGCCTAAGCTGTGATGATCAAAAGACCTCAGCCGATAGTTACGGAAGCGAACGAGTGCCATATACCACGCAATCTAAATTTGATAAAATTGAGGAAAACAACTGCAAGAATATTGCACACTTCGACAAGCCGCCGTCGCGCAAAGCTAGAAAAATGGAGAAAACGCCGGTTCGCGAGAGTTGCAGACGTAAAGTGAAATTTAACATTGCAGAAACCCCAGATAATCACAACCAGGCTTCAAAGAAGGAAAATCTAAAATACAAGCCTCGTTTTTCAAACCTTAACTCAGGACTGATACCTAAATCTTCATTCGGAAACACCCAACTAGCCTTCAAATTTCCAAGTTTTCTCATTCAAAAGTTGCTTTCTGAGAAAAGTTTTGGAGTGCGGTCGCTGGAAAGTTTGACCAAATTTGGTGCCATTAAATGTATTGAAGCAAAGCAAATAACTGAGGAAGTTGATTGCTCTTTTGATCTGGACGATTTGCTGAGTAAGGGTCAGCCAGCGAAAGCCCTCAGTAGCAACGCAAGTGCTGGCTCTGAAAATAGCACTAGCCAATCTCCGCCTCCGCCTCTAGATAATATTGCCGTCGATCATTCAGACATCTACATTTCAAAAAACTCTCCTCTCAATTTATCACCTTGTGGCGTTTTGTTGAATTGCGTCAAATCGGAATCAGCTTTCCATGATGTTAGTTCGAGTACAATCTTATCACCAAATGAAAAGGGAGATCTACTATTTGGTAGTCCGAAAGTTAATTTATCAACGATTCTGACAAGATCGCCATCTGTTAAGAAATCAAAAGAGCCTCAAATTCCAGCAAACATATCACAGCAGGGTATAGAGATTAGGGAAAATGTAACTGAGTTTCGAGGGATCGGAAAATTTGAGTCGCAAAATTGCAATCCGAGTCCAAAAAAGTCAGCCAGAGGGTTGAAACATGGAGAAATGCATGAGGGTGTTAATAGTCGTGAAGAAATTTCAAAGAAAAAGTTCCCTACATTTTGTAATATCGAGTTTCCTTTGAAATGCAATTCGAAATCGAATAGAATTTCAGAGCTTGATCTGATTTTGCATAGTGAAAAGGGACCAAACAACAATAGTTGCGACCTAACGTTTGGGAACAAGCGGAAAGTTGTAAAAGCGAAAGAGGAAGCCAAGAAGCAGAGATCTACTCGAAGTGACTCATCATCGCCAATTAAGACTCCTCGCCGAAAGAGACCTCTGCGATTGTCGAGTAATTCGAAATCAGGCGACGAGTTGATGGAAACGAATTCGTCTAGTGATTCAGGATCGCCGGATAGTGTTAGAAAATCGAATAGGAAGAAATTGAAATGTGGGAACTATTTGAACGGAATAGAACTGGACGCGAATAGCAACTACTGCAATTTTGGTTTCGACGCGAATAAATAAAACTGGAGGGCTCAAATGCAACAACATACAACTGAAATGAACGAAAACTTAATATTTTAGTTCATTTTATTTGCTAGTTTTTGTAAATCAGCATTGGTGTAACAATTTTTTAACACGTTTTCTAACCGACATGCTGTTATTATAATTTGCACAAGATAATCGGCTTCTGTTTCATCTTTGTTTAACTGTTTTTTTCCTGCAATATATTGCATAACTTATGTTTTGTAACTCATCTAATTATCAAGAAACACCAAAATTTTAATCAAAAGCAGTCAATTGAATTCGAAATTTAAAATTTTCAATTTATGTTTTAATTGTTTCTATTAAAGCGATTAGCAATCCAGGTGAAAACGGCACGGATTTTTGTTTCATAAAATTGAGCTTTTGCGACAAGATTCAAAATTAGCTTAAATGTATTCGTATGCATGAGAATATCTTTTCGCAATATACAGTCCAGCTTGTAGGACCAGTTTTTACATTTTATTGACTGGTTCATAAAACTCTATCTATTCATAGTTAAGATAGTTCAAATTCTTCTTTCGCTCGCTTCTCCGCCACACTTGGCACGGAAGAGGTCCTAGGTTCAAATAAAGTTTCATTGCAGTTGCAAGTTTTTTTAATAAACTAATTTGCCAATTTACTAGCCCTGACTTTGTAAATTTTCCTCTTTTTGCTTAAAAGCTTTATTTGGTCTTTGTGGCTGAGGTTTCTGTTTAATCGGCTTAGTGACCTAATTTATCGGCTTATTTTTGCGCGCCTTAGAATTTCTTAGAATTTCAGACTTTCAAAACTCAAAGTTTTCCGTGACAACAACTTTGCTTCCGGTTCAACGGAATTGTGTGATGTCGCAAGTAATGCGCGTTGCCTCTGTGTTCAAGCTAAATTTTGGCGTTATGTCGCTTCTTTTTGCGAGTGCAGCTTTGCCTCCGTGATGATGTTTCGTTCTTTCAATTTCTGGCTTCAAATCGTTTCCAATATCACAACAGAAATTTCAAAAGAAAATAGCAAAATTAATCAAAATCAGTTATCTTTGTTTTGAGTACTTTTTTAACCTTTTTTTATTAAAATCCGGTGTTTTTTGAGCTCCATTCAACTCTGTCAAAAAGTTTTTGAAAGCTCAGAATGAACATCTCGAATCCTCTGAAAAAAACTTTTAAAAAAGAGTTGTTTCATTTTTTCGTCTTTGTATTGTTGTTCATCTTATCTAATTCTATCTCAACGAGAACTTTGTCCGAACTTTTTTTTGTTTAATGTGGGCCATGCTTTTTATCGCTTATTGTTTCGACTATTGAAAATGGGGAGGAACTTCGTATTCGGCTCTGTTTTGTTGTTGTTTTTTGTTTTCCACGCAAAATCAGGTACCACAAATAATGATTGCACTGGGTTGAGTGAGATATAATGTTGAAACCCTTTCAGTCGTTATTCGAACCACATTATAAAATTTCTAAAAAGTTTCCCTGTGTCGAGAAAAACCGGTTGGACGTTTTTTGTCTTATTCAAGCGAATAAAGCGAGCAAGCAGTCTTATTTAATTGCTGAAAAGCTTACAATAGCTTAACTTAAAACGTAAAAAATTAATTTTATATGGCTAACGTAAGTTTACTTTGACTATTTAAGCCTTTTTGGATTCCAAATTTTCAAAATTCAAAAATACTGCAAAAACTTGATAAAATGTTCGAATTTTTTTTTTTTCGTTTTTCAAGTGATTTTTCTACAAAAATTGTTTTTCAATTAGCTTCTTTTTGTATGGCAGCCGATTATACCTAATCCTAAGTTTTTTGTTCTGATCTTTTTTATCACGCCACGCCAAAAAAAAAACTACAATAATTTGAAAAAACGTTGTTGTATTTTTATAAGACTATGGTCGGAACATTATGAGCTACTTGCACTGTAACCGGTTGTCCTTGTATTCAAGTGCAGTTTATTGAGTTCATGAGTTCTCGCGCATGTTTTTTTAGCCAGATTATTATAACTAACCAGTTTTCATTTTTGGCCGAAAACGGGATCATTTTTTTCGGCCAGTCCAAAGTGCTATAAAATCAAAAATTACTTTCAAAAAACTTTGGATAGTTTTTCGTAGTTTTTTGAGAGTCATCGCTTTAGCTTCGGTGACACTGGATGACATTGGGATTGTTTATTTCTGTTGATTGTGGTTGCGTGTCGTCTTTGGTCCTGTGTTATTGGCTCCCGACGGGATAGGTAGGACATGCTACTAGCGTGGGTTACTTGAATGTCGTTTTTACACTGGATGCTTTTATTGATCTCGCGTTTTGTGCTGTTTTGAGGTCAGCATCATCCGGCAAGCTAAGTAGTTCATTCAAAGAAGTTTAGCTCTCCTGTTTTTTCGTGATATGTGGACTAAAGTTGAGCT